GGGAACTCCGGGTCTCAGGTGCAGTTACTCTGACTAGCACATAAGCAGAAAGAACCTTGGGAACAGGCTCCACTGGGGAAGCCTCATTCCCATCACTTGCAGCTTTAACATTTTGGGTTCATAGAGTTGGAAGGTGTATTGTGGGCTAATCCATTGCTCAGTGTAGGAAATCCAGGGCCAGAGCGTCCTTCACCCTCTCCCACAAGATTAGTTCTATGGCTGAACTGCTCTTACCTGTTATAGCTTGTCCTAATAGTCACCCAGAATGGATTCACCATGACTTAAAAACCCATCTCAGTCCTATCTTCTGGAGACAACACATATCAAATCTTTCTCCTTCCACTCTGGGGCGGGGAGAATGGTTCTAATGTCTCTCAGAGTCCAGGCCTTGCCATCTCACTGATTCTTTTCCTTGCCTTTCTTCCTCGGTACCCTCTAGGTTTTACCAACCTGTTGGGATCCTTCGTCTCATCCTATCCAGTCACGGGTAGTTTTGGCCGGTGAGGAAAGCTTTATTTTATTTTTATTTTATTTTTTTTGTGCATGTGAGATATTTATATACAGTAGATGAATAAGGTAATTTGAAATGGTATTCTGCATGTGTCGCTTCCCATGGGTTCATTGCCCCTTAAAATCTTTTAACCTTATGAAAAAGCTTTTCATAACCTTTTTACTTCTTCCTTTGGCTTAGAGAAGGGGGTTCATATCCATTGAGTGGTAATTCATGCAGAACTTTAGGCAGTTTGCATTTTACTATAAAGTTATTTTTTTTTCTGTATTATTCAGGTAGGCATAGCCATTCAGGAACCTAGTTGTGGCTGAGTATATATTTTTATATTCAAAAACAGTTCCTGAGTTAATTAATACTGTGGAAGAAAAGGTGATGCTTGAGGCCAATTTGGGATGCCTCCTAGATCTTTTCTTTTTAACTAGAAACGGCAGGAAGAATGGTTTACCTCAGAAAAAGACTCTTGTCTTAGAGCTGCACTTTGGACAGAAAACATGTTCTCATAACTCCCCACAAGTGTGGCAGTCTAGGTCTGAGATCTTATTCTTTTTGGCTGACTACTGACACAGAGCCTTTTTTTAGTTGAAGGCCACATCCTTGTGGAACATGAAGAAGAAATATGTAGGTGAGGCGGTGGGGAAAGGTGGATGTGGTCACAGCAGAAAGTGGATACATAGAGTAAAAGCCACCTTTTTATTAAAACTTCTTCATTTTTTATTTTATTTTTTTAATAAGTTGATTTTCTTCTAGTCTCTTCCACTTGATCTGGTCTTAACTCATAACTCGCAAACTGATAATCGAAGAATGTGAGGCGAGAACTAGGGGAAGCATAGCCAGCCTTGTGGAAAGGGCAGTAGGCCGTATGCATGCATGTCTTGCTGCTTCTAGGCATAGGATGGGGTAATCCTTTTGCTTATAATGGCACTATTCACATTGCAGGACAGCAGTGAATGCTCAGACTGGTGTATGCACTCCTGCTGGAGGACTAATTACAGGTAGGGAAAAGAATAATGCCTTTGTTGGAGGAGAATATATTGGAAGCAGAAGGTTATAAATTACAAACATGTCAACACAAATGCCACTTGTGTAGCTCTCTTTCTTTCACTAAACCTGCCTCCTTCTTTCATTAAACTTGCCCAAATAGTCCCTCTGCAGAAAAGTAAATACTGCAAATAAAGTACCTCAGATGTTTTGTGCAAACATAGATCCTCGATACACAACAGGTAAAGATCTTAAAGGCTAACAAATTCATTGTGGCAACATTTTCCTGGATCATAGTCTACTTCATCAGATGCATGTAGTATCATCTTGAGAAAGGAGGATATCTATATCTATATATATCTTTATTCATGGTTGCAAACGAGGGGATAATCAGATGACAGAAAAGGGAATTGAAATATAGGTAATTACAGTGATAATTACCTGTTTGTGCTGGACATTCCTAAGGCATTCACACTGTTGTTGGGCATGGTAGATATAGACTTGCATGGGTGAGCTGATTAACACATGTAGCTATTTCTTTCTAGTTTATGGAACATAATGTTGAATCTCATAACTTTTAGCCATTGGTGAGTCATTGATTAAATTTAGATGCCACCAAATCTTTCAAGATTCCCAGCAGTTTACAAGAATAGAAAGCACATAGTAAGAATTCAAACATCTGTGGTAAGCCCCAAAGTAACCCAACTCACCCACCCAAAACAACAATAGCAGGCAAACTAAATTAAACACTAAACCAAGATTGTTAATGTGGCAGTGATGGTCACCTCCCAAGGCCCTCTGGAAAAGTATGGTTTTTCACCAATTTCCTGAAGGCTGTTCCAAAGTGGCCAATATCACTTCTGACTTTTAGTTGTTTTTGCTGCAAAAAGCATCACTTCATCCTGGAGAACTCCTGGCATAATAATGCATCCAGCCCTGCTCAGCCACCCAACCTAGTCTTGGCTTAAGAGTAAACTTGCATCTTGACTCGTATTACATGTGTCTCTTTTCTTCTGCAGGGGCCTTAGTACTCTTATCCCTGGCCTATCTTACATCCCTCTTTTACTACATTCCCAAGGCAGCGCTGGCAGCAGTCATCATCTGTGCTGTGGCTCCAATGTTTGATGCCAGGATCTTCCGCACATTATGGCAGGTTAAAAGTATGAACATGGATATCTTGTTCTTCACAAGGCTAGACAGCTGGAAAATGTTTAATGCTTCCCTAGACACAATTGAGATGGTTAGAACTCTGGCCTGAAATGATATGTGTGTTTTTGAAGGAGGAGTGGGAGATGCTCTTTAGGATAGGGAGAAGCAAAAACAAAAGTTCCTCTTTCTCTGTAGCTCTTCTTAGTGCTGGCTTGGAATAGGCATAACTTTCTGAAATTGGATTAATCCACTATTTCTTTATTAAGAAAGAGGGAGTAGATTTTGGAGTTGGCAAAGTTCAGATGCTTTTCATTGTTATACAGACTTCTAGACATGTAGGATGCAGTCTTGAGGCTATTGGAACAGCATCTTGGAAGCCATCTTTGAGCCTAGTCTTTTCTAAGAGGACATAGATGGGACAAAGGATCTGACAGGTCACAAGACCTTTCAGCTTTGTGTTATAGCCAGACACCTACAGTATTTAACTTCCATCTAGAACTGGTTTAAGTTCTAAACATCTTGCTCGTCCTGGTGCAAGGGAGGACAGCACACTGTTTCTTGAAACCAGAAAAGCACAATATCATCCTTAACCTGCCCCCAGCCCACTGCAAAGCAACCTCAGCCCGTATTTTGTAGCTGTATGTCAAAATTAGTATTTCCCTACCTCTGCCAGCAGAAGTGGGGCTGTGCAGTCTCCCTGCTATGCTACATTTCCTTGTCTAATGCCAAGCTTGGAGTGAGAAAGAGCATGTAGAGTGGGAAACAGCATGTTATGCACATTTTGTCTTGTGAGTTTCAGTTCAAATCACTTTCCTGCACTACTTATGTCTGTGCTCTTAATAAAATGAAAACAGAGCTAGTTTTCGTTGGAACTGCTTGCTTGTTTTTCTCCCCTTTTGCTGATGGGGTGGACATGTGCTTGACTGAATTCTCTGTTCTTTTTTCTCAGGGCTAGACCTGGTGCCTCTTTGTGTGACGTTCTTTCTTTGTTTCTGGGAAGTGCAGTATGGCATCATAGCAGGGGTGATGGTTTCTGGAATCCTCCTGCTCTACCCCGTTGCCAGGCCTCGGATAAAGGTTGGTTTGTAGCTCACTGAATCAGGGTGCAGGCAGGGTTTGGAGAAGACTGTTTCCTTGGCAAGAAAACAGTGCATGGCAGCCATACGTGATTGATCATAGCATGATTTCTGTTTTGCTTCTGTCTGCTCCTGACTGGTTGTGAGCCACTTAGGGGGAAACACGGAACGGTTGACTTAGGCGGTGCTAAAGCAAGGATGTCAGCATTTATATATAACGTAGGAATGTATAGACATTTGTATCTCTTTATTCCTCTCCAGTTTTCAGTGTTACTGAGACTTTGTGCAGGTAAAAGATACTACATAAACCTTCATTGAGACAATAAGCGGTTTCATGGGTACATCAAGAAGCATTGTGATGACTCAAACGTACTCCCCTCCCCTCCCCTTGTATTCCTTCCCACAATAATTTCTTCCAACGTTTTTTCCAGGTTGTGATGGATGAGGCAATAGTCATAAAGCCTGAGAATGGCCTTCAGTTCCCAGCAATTGAGTTCCTCCGGAATATTGTACACAAGCAAGCTCTATCAGGTAAATTGTATATGCAGACTTCCTGAGATGAGTCTTCAGTACACTTTATCTAAGGCAGTTAATATTCCTCCTCCTGGGTGCCTCTGGAAGAATAACTGTTCTGTGTGGTTGGCTCCATGTCTTTCAAAACGAAAATAAGCAGGAATTTCAAGAAAGGAAGTATTTCAGTATGCCTTTTGAAGAAATGTCCGTGATGCATAGATATTGGGACCAAATGAGAAGGGTTTCCAGCTAATAGTTCTTGAGCCAAACCGATGGAACTTCAGAATAGATATTTAAGCAAACACACAATGTAGAATAAAGTTTGCTTGGATTCTAGTTCTTCAAGGAGTTAACTACTGCAGATGAAATGGATCCTCTTAATGGTATTACATGGTTGGCAGAACCCTAGTATTACTCAACTGGAAAAAGAAGAACGAGTAACACCTTTCTTCCATGCTCAGGAACTTCCAGATGGTCATGTTTACTCTCACCAGTGGGTAAGACAAGACGTAACACAGCCTAAGGCTTCAGGAAGTTCGCATTCATTTCTTTAGATCTTTAAACAACCCCAATTCCCAAGTAGCTATCTTGTCTAGTCCAATGCAGATTTTTAACTAGACATCACTGAGGCTACAATATGGGGGAAATGGGACCTTTTAATTAAAGCAAGGGCAGGCAAAGTTGGGGCTCTGCACTTTCCTTTTTAAACATTTTTGACCTCTGAAAGCATTGGCTGATGAAACAATTAGGTGTTGGAATATCTGGAGCTGAAAGGTTCTCCCCCCCCTAGTATGTATAATGGGGGAGGGCAAAATAATCCTTGCAGAGGGTTTAATGTACTGGTTTTGAGTCTTATTTTAGGGGGGAAAGTAGACTGCCAAAAATTGCTGCCCATCAGTCATATAGTTGCAGTCTAAGAATGCTTAGGGGGCTCGATATAGATACAGGGAGCCGACTTATAACTCACAGATTGTGACCTCCCTTGAATGAAAGCTTAAAGCTGTGCAACTTTAGTAGGATTTTATACAGGTAGTCCCTAGTTTAAGAATGAGTCCTGTTCCCAAGGTCTGTTCTTAAGTCGAATTTGTATGTAAGCCGGAATAGTATTATTGTATAATATTATATAAGTAGTATTGTGTAATTAACTCGAACCATTGTGTATTTAACTTGAATTTTGCTACAGTAGGCTCAATTCTTAACTATGGATCATCCATAAACCAGACATTCTTAGCCTGGGGACTACCTGCATATTGGAAAGGGAGAGCACCAAATATTTTGAAAACAGAAAAAAGATTACAGGTAGTCTTCGCTTAACTATGGTAATTGGGACTGGAAATTTTGTTGCTAAGTGACATGGTCGTAAAGCACAATGTCACATGACCGCACCACTTAGTGACATTTCCGGGACTTCCGGTTGCCATCGTTAAGCGAATCCTGTGATGTTGTTAAGTGTAATATCACCTCCTCCCAACTTCTCCATTGACTTTGTGGGAAGCTGGCAGTGAGCGACACAAATGGCGATTATGTGATTGCAGAATGCTGCGACATCATAATTGCGAGCCAGTCACCAGAGCCCAATTGCAATCACATGACTGTGGGGACACTGCGATGGCCACAACTACAAGGACTGGTCGTAAGCCCCACTCGTTCAGCACCATTGTAACTTTGAATGGTTGCTGAATGAGTGGTTGTTAAGCGAGGGCTACCCATACTTTAGTACCGTCCATGTTCTTGTACTTACACCTGAAAATCATTAAAATTCATGACCTGGAATTTGAAAACAGATATAGCTTTGCATAGTAAATATTTAAAAGCTGTTGCCACTGGGGCTGTTGGGGCAGAGCAGCTTATGGTGAGAGTAGCAAATACCTCCTCATCCTCCTTTCATGAAAGAGTCTAAGAGCATTTTAGCAATGCATTATAATGATACAGTATTCAATTAAATATATGGGAGACCCCAGGAAGTCTCAGGGCTAGACTGAGAAGTTGAATGAACATTCTGGAAGAAGGCAGTAGCAAACAACTTCCCTGCTTTGTGATAAAAATAAAATGGACCTGCCCATGAAGTCACCAGCAATCAGACTCAACTTGAAAGGGACTTTATTTGCTTTTTAATAGTTGTTCAGAACTATTGAACACTGTCCTAGATTCTATGCTGGGTATGTGGCCTCCATCATCCTTTACAACCAGTTTACTTGTGAGGCAAGCTACTTTTTAATATTGATTATGTATGTGTATATGCTCTCCGTTTACTAAATGGCAATTGAATGTGCAGAAACTGCAATATATCTGATATTCCCCAGAGATGACCTCCATGTCAGCTTTTATACTTCTACCTGGCCAGTTTGTTGTGTTTTAATTTAACAAATTGAACCATGTCCTTGATCAGCGAGAAAAGCACTGCAACTTGGCCGGATTCTCCTGTATATACCCTGTATAGCTTGCTAACTCTTCAGTGGATCTCTTTCTCACACTCTTGTTTTCTGACTTCTTTTCTTTGAAGTGAGGGGTAGTTTGTTTATGGTAGTAGTGCTGGGCAATGTGAGAAGGCTCATCTGCCCCACACTAGCCTAGAGATGGGAAAGGTCTGAGGAAGAAAGTTGCAGCAGCTTGTTCCTCTCTCTTTCAATGGTCTTCCTAACTCTCCAAGTGCTGGAAACAGTAAGGTGCATGGCGTGCTAGGAATGCTGTGGGGGATGTCCTCTTCCCCATCTTGGATACCTGTGACATGGCCTGTCTTCTCCCCAAACTGGGCACTCCTCAGATGTCTTGGACCTCCCACAGGTCATAGCCAGACAGTTCAACCAGGTTTTCTGGAGTTAAGGAGAATTGTAGTTCCAGTGTGCCAGGAAAGGAGGGGGAAACCATCATACGGGTGATGGTAGCCTGATCCAGGAGCTGCTGTAGCTTTCCCAACTATCAACCTATCTACCAAAGAAAAAAACATATACACATACATACATATATTAAAAAAATGCCGTTGTTTCTCCCTTTCCTTTGTCTCTTTTCACCCTGTATGCAGAGATTATACAGTGGAGTCCTTGGTGTTCTCTGAGCTTTGTTGTTTGTTTGCAAATGTTTCATTACCCAACTAGGTAACATCATCAGTGTGGGTGTGGGGTTTGCTACTTGTTGATATATGGTAGCTTTCCCTGCCCATTTTGGTGGGGGTATGGTTTCCTCCTTGGAGGTTCCTAATTAGAGTATTATTTTCTGCCAGATTGTTTTTCTGGTGCTGCTCCCTGCTTATCTGAATGTGGGCTGCTGGAGGGGATGTGTTCCAATCTTTCTGTTTCCTTCCTAGGTTTTTTATTGTCTCTCTTGAGTGGTGTGTAAATGTGGTTTATCTCTATGTGTCTATTATACAAATAGGTTGTACACCTGATTATACACCTGAAACATCAGATTCATACAAGAGATAGCTGGTCATGGTAAGAAGTAAAATAGTTAGGTGGACCCTTGGCCTAAGGCACCAGGGCTTGACCTCTCATCCCTTTAAAAAAGAGTGTAAGGAATAGTGTTCCCATAGTGGCAAATGCTACTTCAATCCCAGTTATATGTAAGAACCGCGGTACTCAGTTCCCAATGAAAGCAACTCTCATTGAAACCAATGCAGGTTCAAAGGAAACGTCATTCATTGGAAAGTAGTGAACAGTTCTAGAGCATAGCTGGAACTGAGTCCCGCGCCTGCCAAAACTTAGTTTTACCTCACTCCCATTTCACCCCCCTCTTCTGTCTTTGAATCTTTCTTGCGCATGTCGAAGATTCTCTCCAGTTCTCACACTGGTACAACCTTGGGCATTCCTGAGAACTGGATAACAGTCCATCTGTGCCTAACGGTTAACCTTCCCTCCCTTCCTCCCCTTCACTGTAATGGCAGAAACGAAGCAAGCAAACTAGCAGTGCAAGTGATTGATTGCGAGGATTCTGACATCATTACTATCTTGTTATGTAGGATCTTTCAGAGCTTTCAGAATGGGTGTTGGTGGAAGGAGCAGGGTAAGAGAGAGCGAAATTACATACCCCTAATTAAATAGGTACAAAGGCTCCTGTTTTCAGACATGTATGTTAGCCTTCACGTAGGGTGTACAACTTCCTTCAAACCAAGTCCTACACGTGGCCTTTTGTGTGGCATCCCAGAAGCCCCTTCCCAGACCCCCAAAGAAGTAAATTGGCCCAGGACAGAATATGGCTTTATTTGATCTGATTCAATTCAATTCAATACCATGAATAAGTGAATATTTATAATCTTCTGTACATTCTACTTCTGTTGCATTAAAGCTTTGGTGGCAAGTTCGAGAGGGACCCAGATAAGACTATGGGGACTGCAGGTGGCATAGCCACTTTTTGAGCTGTGGAACAACCTCCCTAGAACAGTCCTGAACTCCCCCTTGCTGGAGATATTTAAGGGTGGGGGCTGGGGCTGGGTGGCCACCTATCAGGAACGGTTTAGTGGATTCTGGCATTGAGCAGGGAGTTGAACTACAGGGAGATGGTCTATAGATCCCTTCCAACTTATCCATTCTATGGTTCTGTGAAATACATTCAGCTTACTATTGTTGGAATCCAATCTCTGATGAAGAACTGCATTATTAGGATTCTTAATATTGATTAGAATCATGATTTCAGTAGGCTTATAGCCCTATTTGATATAACTATACTAATACTGTAAAGATCTCTATCAGCTCTGCTCATCTGTTGTATTTATATTTTTTACTGTTTCTATTGTTATTTTAGTTGTAAGCCACTCAGAGCCATACTTGGCTATACAAATTTAATAAATAAATAAATAAACAGATAAAATATCTGCACAGGATAAACATATAAAAGAATTCTGCCATAAAATTAGGAATTATTTTTAATATTCTGCTCCTACCAGATGTCACAGCAGCACAAATGTTAGCATCGAAGTCCAGCTAGCATTCCTCTTTCCCTGATTGAAAATCTGTGTTTTAAAAAAAGACTATACTACTGGAAGCTGTGAGCAAACACTAACCATGATTTTTAAGAAGCCTAGGCTGGAAAAAAAATTCTGCTAAAGACTACAATTTTTATATTAAATAATTAAAGCAGGATGTTTTCATTTTAAAAAGGTTCTTTCATTTACATTGAAAATTATGTAGTGTGGGGGATATGCATGCAAAGCTTCCAAATGTTGTGAACCTAAAAGATTTATAAAATGTTCTTCCATTGTTTTCTTTTTCCAAATCTGGACCAAAATATCGCTCTGCTAATGCAGACAGGAGGTTGACTGCATAAGGCCTTGTGCTCTTCCTTCCTCAAGCGCTCGTTGTGTTGTCTTCCTTCAGAGCCTCAGCAACGCAGTGTCATCCTGGACTGCAGCCACATCAGCAGCATTGACTATACTGTGGTATTGGGTCTGTCTGAACTTCTGCAGGAATTCCAGCACCAAGAACTCCGCTTCATCTTCACTGGCTTGCAGGTGGAAGTTGTGGGGGGGGGCGGCAAATGTAAATTGTGGCTGGGTAATTTAACCTAAAAAAGTCTTAGAGGCCTAACATCTTTCATTTAGAAAAAAAGAAGATACTGTTTAGTGACAAAATATATACGGTTTGCATGTAGAAGATTTCAACCCTTGAGAATGAAGGAGCATGTATAGGAAGCTAAGGCGTTGAATAAATGCTCTCAGTTAGCATCCCCTCTAGCTTTCAGCAGTTGAAGTCCTGCTGGCTAGAAATGCTGAGATATGTAGCCCTAATGTATCTGCAGGGCATGATGGTGGGAATAAACTGGGTTGTTCACTATGTAGATTTATACTTTGATTTGATAAAGAATAGCCACGTATATTCATAAATTAAGCACACCAATAGTGCATAGTTTCTGAAACACAAAATGCTCAATGTCTCTCTAGAATATAGTCTACACATTCAAGATATATGGGCTGCCTTATACTGTGTCAGCCCACTGAGTTGTTTGGCACTATATTCTTTCCTTTGACCCAGAGATTTGTCTAATGCTACCTTTTAGCCAGAGAAACAAGGGGTGGAACCTGAAACCTTAGATATGTGAGGGATCCATTCTGCCCTTGAACTGTGGATTGATGTCTGTCCGCCCGTCCATCCTTCCCTCCCTCCCTCCCGCTTCTAAGAGCTCTTGTGAAAAAAAAGAAAAGAAAAAAAAAGCTTTTCTATTGTCTTAATGCCCACAGGCTCACGTGCTTGAAGTCTTGCTGGCTGCTGACCTGGAAGGTTTCCGCAATTTTTCCACCCTAAATGATGCAGGTAGGCAAGGATCTAAAGAAAGTTTACTGATACTTAAACAGATACTGAATATTCAGGGTTGTAGTCCTCTGCTATATAATCTGAAGTTTTCATCTTCAGACAAAAAATTATTTCCCAAATTGCACTCTATCAGTTGAAAAGTCAGTACAGGTAGTCTTGCTTAACAACTAAATTGGGACTGGCAACTCTGTCGCTAAACGCTGTGGCTTTTAAGCGAGACATCAGATAACCATAACTTGCGATTTTACTGCTGGCTTCTCCATTGACTCTGCCTGTTGGAAGCTGGCTGTGAAGCGTGCAAATGGCAGTCATGTGACTGCAGGACACTGTGAGAGTCGTAAATGCACTCCAGTTGCAAAGTGCCCAAATCTCGATCAAGTGACCATGGGGATTCTGTGATGGTGTTAAGGTGATTTATGATTTAAAATCATAAATATGATAAATAAAATTGCGAGGAATGGTTGTAAAGTTACTGTATTTTTCCGACTATAAGACGATAC